GAAGAACTTTATGTTATTCAAAGAGTTACAAATCCATAGGGTACAAATTATATACATTTATAAAGCTAAAAGGTAACAATTTTAGAAAATACAACTTAAATGAAAATAAGTGTTAATAACCCTGAGGGGGTTAAAGTAAATAAAAAAGACCGAAGGAAAAGAACAAACATTTCAAAATGAAAAGCAGCTATCTCCTAAAGGAGATTAAAAAAAAAAAAAAAAAGCAAAAAAAACACGAAAGATACTGATCCTCAGTGAATTCTTGTAAATTAAAGGAAAACATATTTCTTTTATCAGATTGTTGGATAATAAAAGCCTGGCCACACAGCTTTATCGAGGGCATGAAGAGATAAGCACAGCCTTGTGCTGCTGGGAGAAAGAGAACTGTCTGTACATTTGGCAATTTGACTTTTAAAATTAAACACAGTACCTCTTTGACTCAGCAAATCCATTTGAAGGAATTTATGAAAATATTTGGACTGTGTTGTAAGATAGGCACTGCAAAGGAGCCAAGTGTGTCAAAAGGACCCTTCATAGTGATCAATATTGGTACTTGTGTGGCATGGCCACACAGCAGGACATCAGAAGACCATACAGGTCTGTGTTCACCTGGAAAAACTGTTCACAGTACATTAAGTGAAAGAAGTTGGCCACAAGATGGAAATGTTTAAAACTGGATTGTGTTGATGGTTTAACAGTTCTATAAATTTACTAAAATCGTGGCATTCTTCAATCGTGGCTGAGTTGCAGGGTACATGATTTATACACCAATAGTTGTTTCTGTAAAAAGTTAGCTACAAAATAATGTTTTGAATATCATTTTGTCTAACACACAGGACACACCTGGTAACAACTATGCTGCCTTGGGTAGAGGTGGTGGTTTTTCTCTTTATCCTCTCCAGTTTAATGCAATTGGCTTTTTTTTTTTTTCACCCAGCTTCAGGCTGAGGAGGGCTTATCTGAAGGATACCAGGTGACAAACCTCTGGGTAAAGTTACTTACCACCAACTTACCAACGTCAAACATGGGAATGGCCACCTCAGTCATTGCTCAGTTCTTTAGATAGTTTGTCCTAAACTCCAACCCTCTGAGCCATAACCTCATTTCCCTAACTTTCCCTGGTTTATATTTAGAAAGATTTCTATTACAGATAGCTGTGTTACTAACAAGGCTGGGACTACACAGGCTCCCAGTTGGGACACACTTTAAGTCCTCTGCTGTAGCTCTGGTGGAGACTCCCAAGAGCCCTTTCTGTTCACATCACAGTGAGTTCCCACTGCAATCTTGGCAATATATTATGCTAATGTGGAGTCTCCAGGGCCCCTGAGAGGGCTTTATTTCAAGTGAGCTCATTTCATGTCTGTCTTAGGCCATTGCAGGTGGTTCTCAGTGAAGCTCAGGGACCATCGCTTCTCCAGGAGAAGTCGTCAGGTAGTCTCTTGAATTAACGCTCAAATAGGGGTGTTTAGCTTTCTGGCTTTGGCCTGAAGCTGAAGTGTTATTGAATACAGTCCAGATATGACTTCACCCATCCCTCACAAGTGCAAAGCTATTCGTCATCTGGCAGTTGTTCTGCAAGGGCAGGAGGGACTAGGTGGATTGGAAGGTGCTCGGGGGCTCCTGCTCGAAGGACTGGGGAAACATCATTTTGTGAGCATGCTAAGCCCCAGATGTTGCCTGGAGAAGCTTGAGATGAACAGCCATAATGTTTGCAGTGTCCGGGCCAAGAAGAGCTCTGGGAAAAGCACAGAGCACCATCAAACCTGGGAACCCGTCAAAGGGTAATGAATTCTTCCCTGAAGCTCTCAGGATCCGCATTCATTTGGCAACTCAAACTGTGAGCATCATCTAAAAACCCCAGAGATGGAGACAGCCAAGTGTTTATTGCCAAAGTAAAAGGAGAAAATTAAAAGTCCTTCTTAAGCACAGCCACAGTGCCAGCTGCAGCTTGAGAAGCAAGGCTTCTGCCGATATCGGCTGCAGCAAGAAGCTGTGCCCGTTTCCCCATGAAACACGGGCCTGGGGCCATTGGCCAGGTCTTGAAGTTTGTGTCAGCCTAAACCAGAAATACTATCAAAGAGGAAGAGATCAGACGCCAATCATATCATCTTGTTTTATTACGTGAACAGTTCGGTCTGTGAGGGCAATAGTCTACATTCCCCTTCTACAGTCAGTTAACATTTTGTGACTCTCATTCCACAAGTGAAAGCTCATCACGTGTCTGTGGACAAACAAACAAACAAAAAACCTCCAAAAATGCTGTTGTTGGAGACAGGACCCCTGATGAAGACAGTGGAGATGTTATAATGTTCCTGGGGGCAGGTATTGCATGAGCTCTGTTGAGTCTTGCATAGGTAGAGAAGGCAGTTTCCAGAATATTGGCACTGATGAGGAGGGAAGGGCACCAAAAGCCAAGCAGAAGTTACATTCCCATGGGTCAACCGAGGAATCACCCAGGAAGACCCAGCACAACTGAATCTGCCCTGGGAAGCCAAAGCCAAGAGCCCATAGGGTTTTGCTTGGGAACCACTGGGTTGGGTCCCAGCTTCTCATCTAGTCAGTACTACAGTGTGAGCTGTCTAACTCCAGTCTCCTCCTCTGAAAATGGGGGTGCTATCTCACTCAACCATTGGGGACATGGAACATGCCATAGAGACCCATGAGTGCTGCCTAACACATCAACAGCTGGTATTATCTGGAATTTTCTAGATTTGAAGGGAAAACAACTCTTAGATCAAGACAGTGAGGGCTACCTGTAATGATGAATTCTGAAAGCCTCTAAAAGGACAGTGAAAACAGGTAAAATAGCTCGCAGGCCAGCTCTCTGGGTACCTTCTGAAGGAGAGGGGAGAAAAGCCACGGCTGCAAATGCCTGGACAAGAGAAAGCTGTACAGGAGACAAAAGATCATGAGCTCTCCAAGTCTCCAGAATAGCAGGCTGACATGGAGTGGCCACCACACCCTGACCAGCCACAGTCCTGATAGTTTATTTATTCATGAATATTTACTTAAGGGCCACTGTCACAGAGTTGGTGAACTGGATCCTCTGAGAGCTTCTTGTCTAAATTTCAAAGGGAAGCCATGTTGATTGTTTTGTAAAAATGTGGTCTATCAGTCAATGGCTTCTAAGTAAGTGACCTCTGTTTATGAAACAGTTAACCAGGAGTCAGGACACTGTACAGGTGAAGGGACTTTGCGTCTACATTCAAGCAAGGGGCTCAGCACTAGAATGAGTCCATGAGGGGACTAGCAGGACAAATGAAGGTTTGTGAACTCACATAAAATTGTGTGTTGAATTCTGTTCTTTCAGAATTCAGGCTAGATAAACTTCTACTGATGCTTTCTTTCATGCTATATCTGATGGGCTCCAATTTCAGGATGCCATAATAATTTAAATGATTTTTGTTTGTTGTATATGTATATAAACGTGTTCGTGTGGATGTATTCGTGTGTGCATGGAGACCAGAGGTCTTCCTCAGTTGTTCTCTACCTTACTTGATGAGATAGGGTCTCTCACCGAACTTGGAGCTCACTGGCTTGGCAAATAGGCTGGTCCCAGGGATCCTTCTGTCTCTGCCATCCCAGCACTGGAATTGTAGGTATGTACCACCATACCTGGTCTTTTATGTATGTAGGTGCTAGGGATCTCAACTCAGGTTCTCCTGTTTGCATGGTGAGCACTTTCCCAGTTAGCCATCCCCATCCCCTGATTTCAATAATTACTAAAAGTCTTGGCAAGTTAACTACCCAAATGCATTCTTAATACTGGGAAGCACACTGGGCCTTGTTCATTGTTTTTTTGCATGAAAAATATCCTTGCTAATAAAAAATAATTGAATTGCATATGAGTACTCAACATGTTCACATAATTTAATCGATGGATTATAATCCACATGGTTCTGGGCTTTTGGATCTTTGAAGGGATTGTGAAGAACATAAATGCATATTAAAGACATTCGACAGTCTGTTAAATGTTCTTAATGGCTGGTTATCTTTAGGGTTTAGTAAGAAGAGGCAGTCGTGGATTTATGTCCAGGTGGACTGAAATTAGTTATCCCCCTAAACATGTCAGGCAACATAAAAGACAGATTCTATAACCAGTAAACAACCTGGCAGAAACGAAAACCAAAAAGAAAAATCACTGACATATTTCTTTCAGCCCAGGATTCCGACAACTTATACCCCACAAGGGAATTAGAGAAGAGGGGGGTTTTGTTTTGTTCTGTTTGCTTGTGAGTAGCTTAATGTCTTAAGTTCTGTATAATTTAAATAGCACCACAGGAAAAACTCCCTGAGCAACTAACCAACATTATTTATTCTAATTCCTGTTTACATCAAGTCCAATATGATGGCTGGCTCTGGCTTTCCACCACGGAGAGACAGAGAAAAGAAAATTACTTCTAGACTATTTACTCATTCTGCAGATTTCAATAGCCCCAGCCTGATGTTACAGCCCAGGAAGTTCTGTTTTTGAATTAACACTGTAGCTCTTGTCTTCCTCTCTTGACACTTCCTGCCTCTCTTCTATCTTCCCTCCTTTGTTTCCTGGCTTCCTTCCTGTCTGGCCCCTTAAATAAGTACCCCTTAATGGCCTCTCTTTCTTAAATACATATCCTCTTTGAGATAGTGGGTAGAGCTAAGGCCATCATACATCATAAAGCGCCTTCCTCGACGAGTGCACAAAGCTCCAGTCAGGGGACCAAGTTAGTCCCCAACACAATGACCTGAAAGCCACGAGACAGTCATCCAAAGCAGCAATCTGTCCCTGCCTGAGTTCCAGGAAAAACATAGGCCTCCAGACTAGAAAGCTATGGTCTCTGGCTCGAAACTGGAATGATTTCCAGATTCATTGATGCAAAGAGCATACGCCTTTCTGGGAAATGCAGTAAAAAGAGGTACGCTTTCAAATCACTCTAGTCTCCTGGGGCTCCCCCAAATCATTCTGACAGAGAGGAAGAGAGAAGTTGGCAGGTTTCAGCACATGAATAGCAAACGACAAATTAGTAACTACGTTCTTTAATCTTCAACATTCATAATTGCACAAAGTATCACTGATCATTTAAATAATACATGTCAAATAATCTAATGAGGAAACTGGTAAAGTGGGACGTTAAGAAGCAACGGCGTCGGAGACTAACAATGGGTGCAGAATCAGATTGGTCTCTCGGAAGTCTGAAATCTTTGCCGACAGACAGGGCAAACTGCTGTGAAGAAGCACATGGAAATACATTCAGCCTGCTAGAGCACGCCAGCAAGCACACAGCAATTCTAACAGCTTTGACCAACCCAGCTTAGCACATCTATCCATACAGCAGTCTCTAACACTACCATCCATTGGTGGGAATGCAGGAGGGCAATGAGAGGAAATAGCCCTTTTCTTTCAAAATAGGATTGGGTGAGGTCTGACCTGCCTAGCCCATGTTAAGTGACAAACCAGAGCTTTGCTACTGAGGAAAATACTTTCCTGGGGAATGTATATGTGTCAAAGATGACTGAAAACCTTGTCTGTGCTAGGGGAAAGTCGAATGTGGAAAAATCTGCATTTTTCTATCTATGCTGTAAAGAAAATAAAAAGCCAGTGCATTTTGGCATTTGCAAAAGGCTGAACTAAGTTCTCAGGCAATAAATTTATGGGGAAACATGACAGGCTTCTCATTAAAGCTATGTGTACGTTGGCTGAATTTTATACAAGATTCTCGAATCCTGTGGAAAATTGGGCACGGCTTGACATCTGAACAATGTCCCTGGTTTGTTTGATTTCTAAAACGTCGGAAAATGTTGCACTTTGGAAATCAGTAGAGAAGAATAAACACATTTTGAAACAGAGCTGGTTTGACTGAGTTATTTTTCCATATGTCTCCATGAGATATTTATTACGTTTATTTCTTTTACAAACACAGTCCTCATGCTAGAATACTGTGGGCCTTTTTCTTTTTCCTTTTTTTTTTTTTTTTTAGTGGTGAGAAAATAGTACTGTTAAGGCGAATCTTACCGGCAGCAGTAATCACCTAAGGATAGGCAATTTTCAGTTGGCTTTTCAGAAGCTGGTTGCCATGACAAAGAGCACAATTTATTCCTTAGTCCCTTATCACAGCTCCGATCACAGACCATAAAAATTAACAGGGCTCTTCCTTCCCGGAGACTTCATTCGCCTCATCCTTACCTGAGGTCCTTTGTTCCCCCAATTAAAGAGAATGGATGTCAGTCATCTAGCAATTCAATTAATGCCAATTCAAAATTCCGGCCAAAACCAGAATCTATAATCACAGCCTCCTAATCACAGCTCAGTCGTGAGAATGAAAAGCAAGCAGGAAATTGCACTAATTACTCAATTAGACTAATACTGTATTTTTAAGCAAGGGCTTAAGGGTTGTCAGCCCTGACAAAGGAGTGGGAGTCCTCCTCACCTGTGCGTTCCCCCTGCCTGAGTGAAGCTGATGCTCTCAAGTGACTGGGATTGCTAGCCATCTAACACAGCTGGACTCAAATTAGACAACGGGAAATTTTAATTGATATAAGGCTCACAATGGAGGGGACAGCTGCGGTGGCCTTCCATGGCTCTCAGCACAGACCTGTAGTATACTGGGACCTTCCTGCACTAGGCCCTCCTTCCAGTGTGAGTATAGCTAACCACACCTTTCTGGTTTCAGGGACCATTTAACAAGGGACCATTTTTGCAGAGAGCCTCTCTGCTAAACCAGTAAGATGGAACTATGCTCATAGACCCCTCAGCCTCAAACTCCCAGCAGAGCCTGCAGCACGACAGGCTAACTGACTCATCCAGCCACCTGGCCCAGTGTGGGGCCTGTGAGCTGCAGGAACCAAAACTCATCTGCACCCCTGGGGACAGCAGCTAATGCTAGGCCCACCTGGAGAAATCTTTCATGAAATCAACAGTGAATGAAAAAGGCTGTCTGGGAAGAACACACCAGCAGATGTGACTGAATTATTTACAAAACAACACTGGTTGCAGACCAAACAGGCTGGACCTTATTTAAAAGAAAAGTATTTTTCTTTTTTCCTATTCAATTTCAAAAGACATGAATATCCTGTAAACAATAGGGAGGGCACTAGAGCCTGTCAAGCCTCTGGTTTTTGTGGTCATCTGTCAAAATCCTTCCTGAGCGAAGGGAGGGAACTGCAGACAGGGAGGAGTGGGCCTGGTCTGCCCAGGCAGTGTGGCTTTTCTCCGTAACAGTTCTGAAATGACCAAGTTGGGAGTGGTGGGGGTTCCAAAAGGAGGGGACATTTATTTGACTGAACGACACAAGGTCTTCACTTCCAGGGTTTGCCTTGCAGGTGACCACTGTTGGGTGTGCGGGGATTGCAGTGACCAGCAGGACCCCCCGTTGGCAGGTTCTGCCCATTGTGGCCAGCTTTCACCTTCAAGTCTCTTCCGGAGGAGTTATTCTGGTTCATTCGGCCTGAAGGGAGCAAGAGAGAGTGGCAGAGATGCAAGAAGGGTTCCAGGGACAATCGGCCAAGAACACTTTTAAGCTAATGAAGCCCTCCACAGCATCTCCTATGGGCCAGTGACGATCTATTTCTTATGCCTGAGATCAACTTGATGCTGAGGAAGGGAGAAGGGATGGAGAAAAGCCCACACAGTCTATTTTCTTCCCCTTCACTATCCTCAACAAATGTGGTCTATCTCTGACGCCTTCCTTGGTAAAGATAGGTATACAGGGTGAGGGTGGATTGAGGAGAGGGAGAAGAGATAGCAGCAGGCAAAGGCAGGAAGTCAGGGCAGGAGGCTCCCAGAAGCAGAGAAGGAAGAGCAGATTTCTCAAGAAGGAATCTGAATGCCCATACCACGCCTAGGACGCACATTCTGCTGGCTGACTCTCCATGTTTGTCCTTAATGCCTGATCTTTGCCATCACTGGTGACTCCACTAGTACCATGTCATGCATAGACCCTCAAGTACTTTATAATTTTTGTGTGATGAGGTGCACAGCTCAAGTTCCACCAAAAATAAAGGTCAGAATCTCTTACTGTGATTGTCTGTCAGGCCCTGGTCCGCTTCCAGATAACATTCTATCTTTTTTAAGTCTTCTGGTGTAAACCTCCACTTGTTCTCAGCTGGCAGGGATGGCATTTTGGGGCTGGATCGTTTCCGGGCAGAACCAAGAGGGAGGGCCTGCTGGCAAGAGGCTGGCAGGGAACCAGTGACCAATCCTTCTGGGAATTTCTGAGCTAAGACTTTCAGACCTAGATGTAGAAAAGCATAAGAAAAAGCAGGGTTAACATAGTGAGGCCACAGCAAAGCTATAAGTGGCCTGTGTGTCTTCTAGCCCTTCATCACTACGCTGCAGATCCAAAGTCATCCTTCACTGTTGTGTCAACATGTAAACTAGAAATGTCAGCCGAGAATGCCATAGGAAATCTTTTGCTCAAGTGTTTAGCATTCTTATAGAACCCTGCAGTAATGCTGTTATCTTAGGAATTAAAACCATGCGCTCAATGGGCCTGGTGGCCATGCCCATAATCCTAGCAGTCAGGATGCTGATGCAGAAGATTAAGAGTTTGAGACCAGCTTGTGCTATGTAGCAAGATCCTGTCTCAAAAGCCATCAAAGCCTCAAATCAACAAAACCTACAGTGCAAAAATGGAACCCCCACTCTCCCCTCCCAACAAAACCCACATAGACAGACATGCTGACAGAACTAGAGGACATTTCACATGCCTGCTTCCTTCCAGACAGCATGACTCTCTCTCTCAGACCCACACTGAGCACTGAAAGTGTGGATCTGAAGGGCTGTTGAGTGCAGAGAGCGGATGTGTGAGGCAGACTGCAGCTTTGCTCACCCCCAGAAAGCATGAAGAGGTTTTCGAACCCGCGTTCACACATGGTAGTCGCTGCCTGGCTTGCCAGCCTCTCGTCCTCATCATACAGGATGATGATCTTGCCGTGAGCATTTTTCTGTAAGGTGAGTTAAGGCTCCATTTTTGGAACTAGCAGGACCTAAATCCTGACAGCATGAGTTGCATACATTACACCTTCTAATTCTTCACCTTCACAATACTGGAGAGGAAAGATTACAGCCTCCATTTTAAATTTTCTATGTCCAATACATTCACTGAAGGCTTCCTTACTGTAATACAATAGAACCATCTGAAAGTCCACAATAAAGGGGATGTTTAGGAAGTAAATCTGACAAGGAGATACTACATACTGCCAAAAATGAAGCTTACAAACAGCTTACATTAGCATGGGGAAATTTCAGATGTGAATAGCATCTACAGTATGACTTCAATTTTGTAAAAACAAATTACACATGCATATATGGAAAACAGAACAGAGTATACCAAGCATTGTGATAGGATATGATCCTCAAATGTCTGATAATAGGATAGTTTAGTTTTCTTTTTTAAGATTTTCAGTATTTTTCTACTTGCATGATTTTCATGAATTGAAAAAATTAATTTTAAAAGAAAAATGAAAATAGAAAAATACTACTTAAGTTCAATTTGGGTAAGCTTTTTAGAGGATCCACAGCCTTAGGCCCACTCTCGATTGATTACACACTCTTAGCCTAGTGTTTTCTGGCACACTGAAGTATGGTTTAAAAGGATCTGTTTTTACATTTGGGACACTCAGCAGCTGCTAGGATTCTAAAATCTAAAATATGCTATCCTGGTTAGTGTCAAAGGTCCTTTTCAGTTTTCACACTAAGAACCATGGTTCACGGTAAGTCTGAGTTTTAAAACCCTGACAACATCCAACTCCTTAAAATGCCACAAAGGATACATACTCAAGAATATCGTTTGAATAGGGATTCATTGTCCTCGACAAAGTTGCAATTGGGTAACTGTAAGCTACAAGAGAAGAATAAGATTAGGACTCCTAGAGCTCTTAGAATTTGGCCCCACTTCCCAGCTGGCTTACAGTCTAAGAGGTAAATATACTTTCAAAGTCAGTGAGCCATAAACCTAAATATACCTAAATACTTCATGAAAGACATGAAAAGAGAAAGGGTCCATGAACAAAAGAGGAAATGGCTTCCCTGCTTCGTGTACTGGGCCTGTGAGTCCCAGAGAACACGGTCAGCCTCTCTCAGAGGACATGGCGGTGCTCGCTCAAAGGGTTTCCATGATGAAGCCAGCACAGACAGTTTCCCTGACTGTTGACCTGTGCTAGGTTCTGTTCCTGGGACTGAGGGGCTCCACTACCCCTCCTCTCTTACCCCCAACAACGTGGCACTGCTGATAAGAGTCTCTGTCACGCACATCTAGCAGCAGGAAGGGGCAGTCCGGATAAGGCTTGTCTTTACCACTGGGCTCCTCTTTTTTTACTAGCTCTTTGTCTACATCCAGTTCCCCAACGCCACTGATGACGCTGTAAGCAGAAAAAAAAAAAGAAAAAAAAGAAAAGAAAAGAAATAGATCATCAGAAACTAGTCAGGGGTTGAAAGGTTAAATGTGTCTCTTCAAAATGGTGAGATGAGGGTTCCTGGTCTTCTCAAAGGGTGCCCCCAAGAAAAACTAAATGGCCAGAGTGCCTCAGTTCTCAGTTTTTTCCAGAAGGCAGGGTTGTGCAGATGCTGGACCCCAAGAAGGGTTTGGTGTGCATTTACCATTACCCTCAGAGAACGCTTGTCAATTACTAGAGGCCTGAGGGGTAGAAAGTTTGCAGCACACGCCGCCTTCAGCAACAAGGGCAACATTCAGAGGAAGAAAGGGGACAGTTAATCTAAGGAGAAGTTCACAGCTTCTGTAAGGCAAAGGACACAGTCAGCAAGACAAAACGGCAGCCCACAGACTGGGAAAAGATATTCACCAACCCCACATCTGACAGAGGGCTGATCTCCAAAATATACAAAGAACTCAAGAAGCTAGTCTCCAAAACACCAAGCAATCCAATTAAAAAATGGGGTACAGAACTAAATAGACAATTCTCAATAGAGGAATCTAAAATGGCTGAAAGACACATAAGAAAGTGTTCAACATCCTTAGCCATCAGGGAAATGCAAATCAAAACAGCTCTGAGATACCATCTTACTCCTGTCAGAATGGCCAAGATCAAAAACACCAATGACAGTTTATGCTGGAGAGGATTCGGAGAAAGAGGAACACTCCTCCACTGCTGGTGGGAGTGCCAACTTGTACAGCCACTTTGGAAATCAGTATGGTGACTCCTCAAGAAAATGGGAATCAGTCTACCACAAGAT